CATGTGGATCCTTCAAACTGGGTAAGCTCAGGATTTGATTTTGTCAAAAGAAATAAGCAAGAGATTTGTTGTTTCCTTCAGGATGGGTGTTGGTTCACATTTCCAGGACCTAGCTGCCAAGTTCCTAATTGTTTGAATAGGGCTTTCCAGCACTCTGACCCCCATCTAAGAGACATCTGTGAGGCAGCCCTTAGGCCTTAGCTCTCTGTTTCAGAGGCAAACAAAGGATTAAAAGGCTTGGTGACTCCAGCACACTTTGGAGATGCACTGAATGTCACAGAGTTGCAAAACCAAAGGTGGAGGGTTGGCAGCTTTGGTGGATGACTGAAGTGATTATAACCAGATTGATCACCGTTATGTTCTGACCCACAGCACTGGCTGGGTATCCATGTGCAACTGCAGCCTTGGATGGAGCTCTGCAGAAGACTTCTTCAGCAGGTGGCAAGAGATTTTAGGCAATTTTTTCAGCACTTGCCAAATGAAGGTATCAGAAGTGGTGCAGGTTTTCTTCACACCCTTCTTGAACTATCTAGCATGCCACCTGTTTTTTTCTACTCACAGCCCCAGCACACATACACAGCATTTACTTTCCACAGGCAGAAGGTCCTGGCGCAACTGCACTGTTGGTGTGACCAGGGGTCAGCCTGACTGGCCACCAGCAGAGACAGAAATGTGTGGAACAAAGGACACTGGGAGAAAGCAGGCTGCCAAGGATTTTACCTAAACTTTCTTGTCTTGAACAGTGAAATAATGCAGTCCCTCCCTTTACCTAGCACCTTCTGGGTGACGGTCTATGCTGAAACCTCTTCTTTGGCGTGAAAAGAGATGAAAAGTATTCAGGGGTTAAAATTAGTTCCAGATACAGAAAAAAACCACGAGTCCCTAGTATTTTGTATATAGTTGAAAACTGAGTATAAAACCAGAACTGACTGAGGGAGGGGAACGTTCCCTTGGCAGCTGCGGAGCCGCGTGCTCAGATGTGAAATGGCGCCACGGGGGAAACAACTGAAACGCATCTCTGTGCCCTGCGGGGCTTCAGCACTGCCCTCTGCCTGTCCCGAGGACGGGACGAGGGGTGTCTAACGCTGACTCAATACATCTGTATTTTCAGGGACACAACGCGATAACCCGGTTAATTTCGCAGCAGCCGTTCGCGTCACAGCTCCCAGGCGTGCGGAGCCCGGAGCCTTTCCCCTCTCCCCACAGAAATACCAACCCGGAGCAAACGGCACAGAAGTTACTCGCTTTCCGGCTGCCTCGCAGAAGGTACCAAACAGCGAAGCCCCGCAGAACACGGACGCGCCGCGGCTCCAGGGGCCGCTCACGGACCAGCCCCGCACTCACCCCGGGCTCCCAACATGGCGGCCGCCGCACGGCTCG